ACTTTATAACAAGACAACTTAGCCAGTCGCCCTCCTGTGGTGAATTGTGTGAATTACACTGCTGCAACTTATTCCTACAGCCGTGACTGCAGTCAGAGGAAAACTTTGAGTTACAATATTTTGTAATATTTAATAAATTGTTGGTTGCCATGTGACGCAGTAAAACATCTGGCAATTACCTTTCAAAATTTCTATAAATATATTTTACATCTGCGATACAAGGAATAAACTTTAAATAAAAAATTGTATATTTGTTTTTTTATTGTTTTTTTAACAAGGTGAATGTTTCTTGCTAATTAAAATTAAAAATCACAATGTCACACATTCTCTTCTTTCCTTGCTGACTCATCTCAGACATGGTAAAATAGTAAGCTCAGCTCTATTATTGTTTTAATAAATAGCATTCACTTAACAACATGATTTTTGTGAGAATAGATAAAAAGAGGTGACTAAAAGCCAAGTAGGCCTATAATTAAAACACATGGGTCTACACTTATATTTTTGAAGGAGCACTTGTAGATGCATTTTACACAGCACTTACAATTTGCACAAATAATCGTATGAGACTGATTTATCAAATATCAAATTTGGAATACAGAAATATGAAATATTGAAAAAATGAAAAGGGTACTTTGCCACTAGATCGCGGCAAGCCACTGCCTTAAAGAAATAGTCGGTTTATTCAATCGATTCGTTCAAATCAGATGATTCATTTAGAAAAAAAAGTAAGAAATGATTTTGAATGGCGGTCAGTGAATCGTTTACAAGCAAATTCAATTAATAAACATTGTGATGCTTTGTTTGAAACCATTTTCGTTAGCGAAATATTTTCTTTACGTTTGGCCATGCTGACCAAACATATAACGCTCTTAAAATGCGTGTGCGCGCGCGCGCACGTGCACGTCCTATTGACTGTGCTGCACAAAGTGTTCGACGATCGAAATGTAGCATATCTGACAATCTAAAGAATGAAATCTAATACTATGATTAGAAGTTACCTGCTGAAGCTGTTGTATCAATTTTACTCATTCATTACTAACTTACACATCATCAACAAACACCTGGCTCCAAAATATTTAATTTCATTGGCTGGATCGTACAGACGCGTTGCTTCTCATCGATGGTTGGCCAGTTTACATGTCAGTCAGAAGCACTAGCCTGAATGGGCGGTTCTTGTCGGTTGTGAATGACAATGCGTAAGTTGACGAACGCTATGATGCGAGAGTCGAGAAATATACATTTAATTAATTAAATTCTCTCAGTGATGGTGTGTACAATGCATGGAAATAAAAACATTCGGGGCTTTACTGAAAACAGCCCCCTTAGCCCACCCCTATGCTGCGATATTCTTTAAAATGGAGTTTGTCGCCCTCCTGTGGTGAACTGTGTGAATTACACTGCTGCACCGTATTCAGAGCGCCAGAGGAAAACTCTGCACTAAACTCTGCACTTACTTTGCATTTATTTCACATTATTTAATAAACTATTAATTTAACGCGACATAGTAAAAAATCTAGAAAAGTTCGCTTTTGTTTAGTGGAAATATATTCTTATATCTGTAATATCCCTAATATCGACTCGCGTTTAAACGCCCTCCTGTGGTAAAATGTTTTAATTACACCACTGAAACATTTTTTCTACAGCAGTAATTCTAGAGGAAAACTAGTTTGATTAAGAATTGTTCTTTTAAAGCGCAAAAGAATAAATATGCAGCGAGAACATTTTAATGTTATTTTAAGTTATTTTGTGTTAAATGTAACAAAATATGGACTTCAGTCCACAATGTAGTATTGTTGGCAAATGTAAAACCTAAAGATGAAGTGACTTTGCTGTCACCTGGTGTCTTATTTTGGTTTATTTTAGATTGCTCTAAATTACAGTTTTTCCCATTCATTTCTATGGGTGCCAATTTTTGACCCAAATACAAGATTAAGGAGGGTTTTTTTTCACCCATTTAACATTGTATAACTGAGTCAAAAAATTGTGTGTGTTCAGGAGACAAACTTAGGGAAAGTAGCCAAGTCTTGTACCGCTCAGATCAAGGGAAGTATTTTTTTTTTAAATAAATCAAAACTATTTTGCCCACATTTGTCCAGAATACGGTTTAGGGTTAAGACGAACATTTATTTTTATTTGGACGCCCTCCTGTGGTGAACTGTGTGAATTACACTGCTGTCATTTTACCCATAAACATTTAAAGATTTGAGTCAGCGAAATAGATAAATCGACTCTGCAAGAATTCTGGTGTGTGTTCAAGTGAAATGAAAAAAGTTCAAATGAATATTATTCTCTCCACGAGCCAAAGGTAACGTTAAGTTAGAGTATAATTTAATATTGAACCAAACATGTATGACGAGTCACGCAGGTCCTGTGCTCCTCCGCAGCGGTAAGACCAGAACCAGTATAAAATAGTCCGAATATAAACACTTATTATAGGTGTACCACAGTGATTCAGGATAAGACAAAGCACGATTTGGACAACTGATTCATGTACTCGCTCACTATATAACCTTTGAACATTTTGAACACAAAAAGTTAAGCACTAAAACTTTATAACAAGACAACTTAGCCAGTCGCCCTCCTGTGGTGAATTGTGTGAATTACACTGCTGCAACTTATTCCTACAGCCGTGACTGCAGTCAGAGGAAAACTTTGAGTTACAATATTTTGTAATATTTAATAAATTGTTGGTTGCCATGTGACGCAGTAAAACATCTGTCAAGTACCTTTCAAATTTTTGTATAAATATATTTTACATCTGCGATATTCTTTTTAAAATGGAGTTTAATCGCCCTCCTGTGGTGAACTGTGTGAATTACACTGCTGTCATTTTACCCATAAACATTTAAAGATTTATGGGGGAAAAAAACGGTACTTTTCGGTTTCACAAGATTATTTAAAGACGTTAAAAAACATGTTTTAATTAATCTCCACTGAATTTCATTTGAAATATATTCAATATATAACCGAATTTTATTTTTGAAATGTTTTTTTATACACCGAATAATATTTCCAGGTCACTGCATCTTATCAAAACCCTTCATTAAGCTCAATTGTTACGTTTTATTTTTCCTCAACAAAGTAAAACTACACAGCAAAACTTATACTTATACATATTTTATGATGTATTGTTTTATAGCGGACGCTATAGATATATAAACATAGATGTATATTTACATACATATTCATATACATATCTATAGCAGATGTTCTTTATTATTATTTGTCCATTTATCAATGTGTATCTATTGAAAACAGCAGTATAGTGTAAATAAAGCAGTGAACACGCGTGTCTTTCATTCCCTGCACACATTTTTATTTTACATAGTAAAACTCCAAATGGATCCAGCAGGGGTGAAAGAGTTAATGACAGGTCCTGTCAATCAAAATCAACCTCTGTGCAATAAAACAAAGACAGAGAATGAAATGTTAAATTAAAATATAGCAGCTAAAAAACTCTGTTCCATGTTGTCAGTCAGTTTAACATTAGTAATGCTTTTCTTTAGTGTTATTTGTTCGTATTGATGCCGTTCATAAATAAATCAAACTCTCACACCTGCACTAATTATAATCATTTATCAGCAAGTACTGAGAAAACACACACGCACACACAAACACTTTTTTATAGTCACTAGGACACATTTCTCAGTCAGTTATATCAGGAAAACTCTGTTTATGTGGATAAATTGAGGATTATTAATCGCTTTGGCACGAAACGCATTCAATGACGACATCTGTCAAATTACATGAATACACTTCAAACACCAGCAAAACTCAGGCATGTGTACATACGGTGAGATTTAAAGCAAACATAAGGAAAAACTAGATTATTTGCAACATTTACACAGTATTGCGGGTCTAAAATGAGATGGTATTACAACATTAGGTGTGTGTTATTACTATCTACACAGAACAGGAGATTATCAATATGTGAATGTAATGTAAACATCATGCGCTATGTAACAAACAGCAGTGTTATTCTGGTTAAGAACATGTACACGAGCACTCAGTGTGTGTGTGTGTGTTAAAGTGAGCTAACCCTCTGCTAGTGTTCTGGAAGAGTGATTTGCTAGTTTTGAATGTGAAATGAATGTGCCAAAGCTGAACACTGGGAAGAGTTTGGAGAAGTGACCTACGTTTGTGAGAAAATGTGTCGTAGCGATTGTAAAAAACAAGCACATGAGGCTTGGTGTAGTGGTCACACATGTGATCCCGGTCTGATGTGTAGCTGTTCTCAGATCAGGAGCACGTGTGTGTATTCAGAGGAGCTTTAGAGCCAAACTGCTTTCTGTCACGGGATCAAAAAAAAAAAAAAGTAATTGTCTTTTTGTATCTCAAAATTCAGACTCTACTTCTCACAATTGCAAGATAATCACTCAATTTTTCAAACCACAATTTGACTTTTTAGTTGCAATTTTTGGCAATAGTGAGTTTATATATTAATTTCTCACAATTGCAAGTTAATAACTTACAATTCAGATTTCATTTTTTAATGGAATTTTTCCTGCTATAGCAAGTTTATATTTTGTAATTTGACCCTTTTATTTGCAATAGTGATTATATATTTTGCAATTCTGACTTTTTATTTTTGCAATAGCGAGTTTATATTACTTTATATATTTATTTCTCAAAATTGCAAGATAATTCACAATTCATATTTTTTCATGCAATTTTTCTCACAACGAGTTTATACAGTATTTTGACTGTTTTCTCGTAATAGCGGGATTATATATATTTTGCAATAGCAAGTTTGTATTTTGTAATTCTACCTTTTTTTCCACGCAATAGCGATATTATATTTAGAAATTCTGACTATTTTTCACAATAGTGATTTTATATTTTGCAATTCTGACTTTATTCTTGCAATTATGAGACAAAAAAATCAGATAATTGTAGGTTATGAATAGAAAAAATTGTGTAAAAAATAGCTTTTTTTATTCAATGACTTTATCCAAACTTTAAGAAAAAATAAAATAAAGTCTGAATTATGCAATAAAAAGTCACAATTACCCATTTATTTTTTAATTCCTTGGCGGAAACAAATTTCCACACTGTCCACTTAATTCATTGCAACTAAAAACCCTTCTAATGTTAAGGAAAAAAATTATAATATATATATATATATAATAAAAACTAAAACATCCGCATTAAACTCTCTAATAAATTAGCTGATTGGAGCCCAAATAAAAAACAGTTATTCAATAACCTTGGCTGTGTGTGTCAGCTACATCAGCACCGCAAAAGATCAGTGTGTGTGTGTGTGTGTGTGTGTGTGTGTGAAAGTGTCACTGCATCATCATTCAGTTTCGGGTTCAGTACTCGAGTCATTTGGACTCTCAATTAAAACCCACAGCCAATAAAACATCGGCGTCACTGCACCTCATTAGCATAGACACGCCCCTACTCAGTCAATTAGCCTATCACACCACGCCCCGGTGTCTGCTGGAGTGTAAAAGAGGGAGAGAAAAGAGAGAGAGAGAGAATGATGGGATAGTAGTGAGGAAGAGGAGGATTGGTCAGTATTCATCCTGATCTCGTGGCTGATCGTCGATGTCTTCGTCTTCTGGAGGCGCAAAACCATCCTGAAGAACAACACACACATGAACAAACGTTACGCTTCATACAGAGTCTGCTAAATCAAATCCCAGGGCTTCTCAAGCGCTACTTTTGTGTGTTGTTTCCCAATCAGAAATCTCACTTATCAAACAATAAAAGAATAAACCAATAAAACGAAACGCTCCAGATAAAGTGCAGCACAAGCAATGACTAGTAACTCTAACCAGTGATAAACATATCGCTCTCCTTATTCAAACTGATTTTTCTGAATCATTCATTCATAGATGATGAATCATAAACTTGTGTATTTATGAGCAATATCACACTCACAGTGTGATAAACTTCAACCGCAACTTGATGCCGTTAAAAAAGACATGTTTGATTGTTCCAATAAAGTTGCTGCTATTGAGGAAGCGCTCGACCATATGGAGAACAGGGTCACGGCGCTGGAGTGTGCAAACGAAAGCTTGCGTAAAGAGAACACGGACTTGAAAGAGAAAGCCGATCGTTTGGAGAATCATAGTCGGAAATATAATATCCGCATTCTCGGCTTGGTTCGAGATATCGAGAAGGGGAATCCAACAAGTTTTGTGTCCGCTTTACTCAATGATTTGTTTAAGGATAAACTCCATCGCGCACCTGAACTGGAAAATGCCCATCGCGTTGGTTCTACGGCTAAATCTGGTCAACGTGCAATGATCGTGAGGATGCATAGGATGGATACGAGAGAGGAGATTCTACGTTTAGCTAGGAAAGAAAAGCTGTTTGAGATTTGTGGGATGAAGCTGCGCATTTTTCCGGACCTCACTGCTGAGACGGTGAAGGCCAGGGCACGTTTCCGTGAGGTCAGGAACAAGCTGTGGAGCGCAGGAGTAAAACACGGGATCATTCATCCAGCTATCTTGATTTTGACTTTTAACGAAGAAACTATTAAGTTTACTGATCACTTAGCTGCAGAGACATTTTACAAGACTGTGGTCGAACCTGTGGTGCAAAGTAAGACTGATTGAACACGTATGGTCAATTGCTGGTATGATTTGATCTATGACTTATGATATGATTTCATGGCCATCGAAGTAATGTGTAATAGTAGGCCTGTCTGAGTTGGTGTACATCTTAGTTGCTGTTAACAAATGTTGGCAATATGGGGGTGCATTTGTATTATTGTGTGGGTGTGTGTGTCTTTGTGTGTTGTGTGTCTTTTTTGTTTAATTTGTTTACTTGGCTCTTTATGTCTAATCAGAAGTTACTATTTGGGTAAAATAAAAAATGGTGATGGATAAAATACTCCCAAATAAAGGGTTAAAAATAGCTCATTTAAATATTTGTAGTTTGCGCAATAAGATACAGGATATTGCTGGAACTTTGGAAAATAATAATTTGCATATTTTGGCAATATCTGAGACGCATTTAGATGCAACTATTGAGGACTCCCTTTTGCATGTAAATGGGTATTTATTATATAGATATGACAGAAATATATATGGAGGAGGAGTGGCTTTTTATGTTAAGGATCATATACCAGCAAAGACTAGACTTGACCTTGGTTGTATTGGGGTTGAAGCGTTGTGGTTGGAAGTGCAGTTGCCACACTTAAAGCCTATTTTAGTTGGATGCTGCTATAGGCCACCCAATGCACCAATAGTCTGTTTAGATCGTATCTGTTATATGTTGGATTCAGTTTGTGATTTAGATACGGAGATTTATTTTTTGGGTGACCTAAACATTGATTGGAGTTCGAATAATTGCTCATTGAAAAATAAGTTACAGTCTATAGCAGATACCTGCAATTTGTCGCAAGTGGTTACTAAGCCAACAAGAATTTTTTATAATGTTGATGGGACAAAAACAGAAACATGCTTAGATTTACTATTTACTAATGCAACTAATTTGTGTTCGAAAGCAATTTCTATTTGTGTTGGTTTTAGTGATCATAATTTAATTGCGATTAACAGAAAAACCAAAATCATCAAACCAGGACAGAAAATAATAATTAAACGGATGTTTAAACATTTCAATGAGGCCAGTTATTGTGCTGATATAAGAAATACAGATTGGTCACAAGTATTAGAGGAAGTGGATCCTGAACTGGCTTTGAAGGTTTTTACAGATTTATTAATGCCAATTGTTGACAAACACGCTCCATTAAGACGAATGACAGTAAGAAATATTGCTTCTCCATGGTTAGATGCCGAACTTAGAGAATATATGAAGAAAAGAGATCAATTAAAGTCAGAGGCAAGTTTATCAAGGGATATAGGAATATGGGAAAGGTACAAGCAATTAAGAAATTTTGTTACAAAATTAAACAGAACAAAAAAGAGGATCTATTATGAACATAAATTTGAGGAAGCAAAATTAGACAGGAATAAATTATGGAATACATTAAACCAATTAACAGGACGGAGAGATAAATCTGTACCAACATTTTTAGATGTAGGTGACACTTTTTTGACTAAACCTTCTGATATAGCGAATTTTTTAGGAAATTACTTCACAAAGAAAGTTCAGAATTTACAAAAAGATATGATCTCACAGGAACACTCTGATTTATCTTTTAAGACAATTAAAGATACAATTATGCTCTATAAATCATGTACATTTAAATTTGACAGAGTAAGTCTTATTACAGTAGAAAATACATTAAAGTTAATGAAATATAAACCTCCTGGTGTTGATGAATTGGATGTCAAACTATTAAAGATGGTTGCTGATGTGATAACTAAGCCTATATGTTATATTATTAATTTAAGTTTAGAAAAATGTGTTTTTCCTGATAACTGGAAAAAAGCCAAAATTGTGCCTCTTCCAAAAAATAAAAAGGAAAATTTTTCTGGGAAAAATAGCAGACCTATAAGTATTCTACCAATTTTGAGTAAGATTACAGAGAAAATAGTTTATGATCAAATTAATTTGTATTTTTCTAAAAATAAATTGAATTCACCTTATCAACATGCTTATAAGAAAGGACACTCTACAACAACAGCCTTAGTTCAGATGACGGATGATTGGTTGCAAGAAATTGATGAAAGAAAATTAGTTGGTACTGTAATGTTAGATCTTAGTGCGGCATTTGATTTAATTGATCATGATCTATTATTAGATAAATTAAGGTGTTATGGATTTGAAAAGTGTGCAATTCAGTGGATCCATAGTTATCTCACTGATAGGAAGTTTAATGTACTGTTTAATGGTAGTTATTCTGATACAAAGGTCTTGCGTTGTGGAGTGCCTCAAGGGAGCTGCCTTGGACCACTGTTGTTTTCTATTTTTATTAATGATTTGTCTTTTATTTTGAAGCGTGCCACTATTGCTCTGTATGCAGATGACTTAACTATTTTTTTGTCTGATTATGACTCTACCAGACTTAATACTGTATTAAATAATGAATTACAATTAATTGAAAAGTGGAATAGAGTAAATAAATTGAAGATTAATGTTGGGAAGAGTAAATGTATGATGTTGGGATCTAATCATCTTTTAAAAGATTCCCCCGTTTTGAATTTGTCAGTTGGTGGTTTGATAATTGAACAAGTGGCGGAGGCCAAATTGCTCGGTGTGATTGTGGACAGCAGGTTGACCTGGAACGCTCATATAAAACTAATATTGAATAAAATGGGCAGGAGTATGGCCGCAGTTCGTCATTGTAGAAAATGTATACCGTTTTGTATACGGAAAACTTTAGTGGAATCAATAGTTTTGTGTCATCTAGACTATTGTTCCATTATTTGGGCTTCAACTACAGAGAACAATTTAAACAAATTACAGATTGCACAAAATAAAGCATGTCGGCTTGTTCTAAATTGTTCTTTTAGAACAAGTGTAAGAGATATGCATAATCAGTTAGCATGGCTTCATGTAAGAAGTAGAATTAATTATTCTCTTATTAAATTCTTAAAAAATATAATTATTTCTAAAGCACCTGAAATTATTTATGGTAGATTGACTTTCTTCAGTGACGTTCATATTTATTCCACTCGTCAATCAAGTGAAGGGCGTTTCTTGTTACCTGTCTGTCGAACTAATCAACTTCAAAGGACATCGTGTTACAGAGCAGTGGTGGCATGGAACTCGCTCCCATTATTTTTGGTCTCAGAGAGTCACAATGTTAGTTTTTCCAAAAGATTGAGACTGTATTTATTTACTTTGGAGTAATTGTAATTTTTATAATTAATAATGACTGGACAATGAGCTATAATAATTGAAATGTGAGTTTCATATTTTGTGTTGTACCCAGAGAGTGGTAATATTTTGCATATCTAAGAGCTTGTATTCTGATGTTACGTTTAGTGTGTGTGTGTGTGTGTGTGTGTGTGTGTGTGAGTTTGATGATTTATGATGTTGTGTGCACTTCTGTATCTGTCTTTATTGTTGTACAGCTTTGATGTTAAGTTTTTTGTTAAAATGTTGTGACCCCAGGAAGAATAGCTGCTGCTTAATGTAGCAGCTAATGGGGATCAAAATAATAAACAAACAAACAAACAGCTGTGCCTCTATATGTTTTATCAATAAAATGTAAATCAATTTCCCATTAATTTTGCAGGCAGTGTTTCTGACGTCATGTGTAAAACAATCATGCCATGGTTAAGTGAATGTCAATATTAGCATGTTTAGTTGCACTGACTGACCACGATGCATTGCATTAACAGCGCCTGTGTTTCAATGCACGTCACCTCTGTGGCGTAGAGGACCTCCAGGACTTTGCCGAGGACGGGGTTCGTGTCGCTCTCGTGCTCTTGACACACCAGCTCAATGTCTCTGAGTTTGCTGAAGTAAAAATCTCGTTCTTTCTCCAAACCGTTGACCGTCAACTTCAGATCCATCAGCTGCAAACACACGACACACACACACTTACTGGACGGCTCAACGACTCCAACTCTCATTTTCCTAGTCTGTTTTGAAACTTTAGTACTTCATCAATTCTGGTTGGTTAATCGAATGGATCGTGATGTGTTAAAGTAGCACACAACATCGGAAAATACATACATATTTAAATTAGGCAGCGTTCTGCACTCCTCATTGGCTCATGCAAATTTTCGATTTCAATTTCAAATTTTTGAAATTTTCTTCTAAAATGATAATTTTTATCAAGCTTGTATATTTAAGTTCAGTGATTTCACTTAAATGGCAATGATAATTACCTATTAATTGCCATTTAAGTGAAATTACTGAACTTAAATATACAAGCTTGATAAAAATGACCATTCTAGAAGAGAATTTCAAATGGCATTTAGAGGCTTTTGCATCTGAACTCTTCATATATTAGTGTTAATTGCATCCAAAATAAAAGTTTGTGTTTACATAATTTATGCGTGTATACTGTGCATAATTATTTTGTATATAAACGCAAACATGTGCATGTGTATTATTTAAGAAAAATGTGTTATTTATATATAAAATATTTATATTTGTATATAATATAAATTATGTATTTTCAATTTCAATTTCAAAAAACGTTATTTATCCCCATGGGGCAATTGCAAGGCCCGTGGATTAGTACAAGTAATATTTCATAATAAAGATAAAAGTAACCTTTTAAATAATAATAATAAAGGTAAAAATAGATAAATAAGTGAGCAGATGGGCAGATATATATATATATAAATATACATAAATGACATGCAAATATTTCTTAAATATATACCTGCATGTGTGTATTTATATATATATATACAAAATCATTATACACAGCACACACGCATATATTATGTAAACACAAATTATTGTTTTGTAACTAAACTATTATTTATTTTGGATGCGATTAATGGTTGTCCAGCGCTTCTGCATTTGTAAAAACGTTATCAAATGAAGTTGGGGGTAAGTTGGGTCACAGCTGTCCACCTGCTGGGTGAGCTCCACGATCTCGGCGTCGCCGCCTCCGTTTCGTGTCATGGGGATGTTGCGCCGGATCCCGGTCGAGGGGGCGGTGCTGATGACGCGCGGGGGGGCGGGCATCGTCTTCGGGGCCGTCGGTGAGGTCCGCTGGGGTCCTATATGTGAAAGCTACGTCATTAGCCACTCACAACACACCAATTCACACAGCAGCCAATCACAGAGCAAAGGGTCATTCGTCAGCCAATGGAAACTCAAGATCCATCACAAGAGTCACACTTAAAATCACAGAGCACAAGAACAACTCGATGATCACGTCCTTACAGTTATCAGTTATTGTGTACGAAGGTGAAAAGGTTTTTACTGTTTTTTAACTCTTCCTTATTATTGTTTCTGTACTTCATGCATTTACACTTACTCATTATCATTATTGTTATTATTTATTTACACATACGTATTTTTCTTCTTTCTTATAATTTATTTTTGTTTACTGTATATAATAAAGAATATATATATTAAATTAAAACTGAATATATTTTTTAAAGAATATATCATAAAATAATACAAAATTAATATGTAAAAAAAGTTAAATAATACTATATATATATATATATATATATATATATTATTTGATATATTTACACACAAACACATATATGTTCTTTGTTTATATATTCTTTTTGTTCCATTTTATTATTATTATTATTATTTCTATTATATATAAAATAAAAAGTAATAAAATAAATAAAATAAGAAATGTATATATATATATATATATATATATATATATATACACACACACACATATTTTACAAATATTAATTAATGATCATATTTTTTATCTCTCTTGTTGAAAAGCATCAATAAAAAGAATCAAACAGAAATCCAAGAACACAAAGAGACTCAACGCAGGCGAGCGAAGCACACACAGGTACACGCGTGCGGAGGGTGTGTGTGTGTGTGTGTGTGGAGCTCTTGGATTGGTGGAAAAGGACTTCACCTGGGTTGGGAAGAGGTGTGATGTCTTGTCCCTGTCGCGCGAACTGAGGGTCGTACTCCTTCCCGTCGTAGTTGGCGTCGAATAACTTCTTAAACCACTGAACGAACTCGAAGTTGTCCTGAAACCTCCCTTTCACGAGCTTCTCCACCGGAATGATCTGAAATCAGGTGTGTAACAATATAACGCAATATAAAAATGCTTAAACAAAGTTTTAGTGTCAGTACTCCATTAAACTACTGTATATAATGTATAATAATGCATATTAGTGTGTCCTGATAATGCCACATGTGTTGTTACAGTAAAAGTGGCCTATACATTATTGTAAATAAATGCACGCAGTGAAAGAGTGCAAGCATTCGTCTAAAATAATGATCATGAATATTGTTATTCTGGCGTCTCTGTTGCTCATTGGGTTTCAGCACCAAGTCCAAGTCTATCATTTACACACACCATATAACATCAAATGTAGCATTTTAACCAACAGGATGTTTTTTGTAGTATCGCAGTAATATGGGGTGGGATGGTGGCGTGAGGGATCGTTACACCCGTACTGATGAATGAAGTGTCGCTCTCACCTTGTCGACGCTCATCCTCTTGAACGCCGCCTGCAACACTTTGAAGTTGTTGATGTATTCGTGCTCCAGCTTGGCCTGAAACTTCACCTTCCTCAGCAGGATGGAGCCGGGAAACAGCATGTCCATGAACTGACAGTACGCCGCCCCTGAGGAACGCCACCAACACAAACCACAGTCAAGACAGCGCTTTAAACAACAGTGATCAGAGCATCTTTACACAGATAATAACACAGCAACAGAGTGTGTGCGTGTTGTGGACGCACAACGCACATTACTAACACGCTCTTTAAATTAAATAATTCAATAAACTAAAACAACATTACGCGATTGACTTTGTTCTTCAGTGCGTCAACGGCTCAGTCTATTTCAGTTCCTCAGAATGCGTCTGAACACACACTCGTTCTCAGACCCGACGCACAAACCGGTGCAGAAGCATTTGCCATTTAAATAACGCGGCGCAGGACGTGAAAATGAAAACCGCATCGGGCTGAAACTAGCAAACACACATGCGTCGCGCGGGGTGTATGATCGGGCCCAGAGACGACACGTTTGGAATATGTGATTGTGTTTTGTCAACAATAAGCATACGCAACATTCTGCATTCTGATGTTTAAGAACTTTTTTTTTTACTTTTGGCCTTAAAATGCACACGTGTATATCAGGAAAATCAAAACTTGTGTGTGTATAAAGCATGCCCGCCAACTCCTCTAGCAAGATCACACCCGGGCCCTCGGGAAACCCAGCGCGCGGCGCTGATAGCGTAACGTTACCTGAGCAGAGCTGCTCGATCTTGGTGTAGTTGAGGTGAAGCGAGTCGTTGACCCAAGCCAGCATATCATGTCTGCTCAGGTTCTCGATCGTCATCGATGTGGAGTAAACGTTCACCGCCATCCCCTAACTACGGAGAAAGCAGACGAAATCACAACCGTTAGCTTACAGAACGCTAGCAGCTAACATTCACAAAAACATCATTTACACATCGTCTTTGAAATGTTTTCCCGATACAAAATGTCATAATCATTTATAAACGCAAAAGTGTTCATTACTCCAATGAGCTCATGGTTTCTGCCTTTAATATTACATCGTTTAAATCAATAGGTTTTTCGCTTAACTGTGATCTGCATTTGTACATTTCTGAAATACATAACTTAGATAACAGATCACTGTAAATCGTCATGTGGACTCACGCTGTTTCTGTAAAGCTGCTTTGCAAATAACCGTCAATTGAATACATTTTAGTTTGAGTGTAGAAGAACATTCCTATAATGTTTCCTTCATGTTTTCTGTGACGTCCACGTGTAACTGATTCACTTTGAAACAGTTTTCACTCAGAAATTGCAAGTAAAATTGACAAACAGTTACAAACAAATGTCAAGTAACCATCAACAGACAATTTACAGTCATTTTTTGTGTGTATCAGTACATTTTTTTGCTTGATTATTATCATATTAATCGAAATTGTCGTGCTTTAATCAGTGTTGAGGAAAGTTACTTTTAAAAGTAATCCATTATAATTAGTGCTGTCAAATCAATTAATCACATTTAACATAAAAGTTTGTAAGTATAAATATATATGCAAACACATACACACATATTTCCAATCCTTTGTGTTAGATGTGATTGTCTAATCGATTAGTGCTGTCAAATCGATTAATCGCATCGAACACAAGTTTGTAATATATCTGTTTGTATTATATATATATATAAAAATACACACGTGTATATATATATATATATATATATATATATATGAAGAGTTCAGATGCAAGCCTCTAAGTGCCATTTGAAATTTTCTTCTAAAATGATCATTTTTATCAAGCTTGTATATTTAAGTTCAGTAATTTCACTTAAATGGCAATGAAGATTACCTATTATTTGTCATTTAAATGAAATTACTGAACTTAAATATACAAGCTTGATAAAAATGACCATTCTAGAAGAAAATTTCAAATGGCATTTAGAGGCTTTTGCATCTGAACTCACACACACACAAACTTTACATTAAATGCGGTTAATCGCAATTCATTGATTTGACAGCACTAGTTACAATCACGATTAATCATAAAAGTTTTTAAATGTTATTAAATATCTGAGCTATGTTGTGAACATAATATTGGGGGGTTTACTGTGTTATTTTTGGAAATGTAAAGGCCTTTTCTCACCAAAACTGAAATGAATAAGCCATACTAATGACTTACTCGCGACTCTCTCAACGCGGCGACAGGAGCTGTCAGTCAACACACGGGAAAACACAGTAGCTTGTGTTACTTATTGGAAAAAGTAGCGCAGATATTTAGTTGTACGCATTACTTTCCTAGTTACTTGGAAAAAAGTAATCCGATTGTGTAACACTAACACTGATTATCACCAGAGAGTGTTTGAACACCTCTAATAACATCATCTGCTACTGTTAAAGGTGTGTGTCTGTTCTTAGACATCAGTAATGAGATTAAACTCAAGCATGTGCACATAGTAGAAACACACACACACATTTTAACTGTGTGTGTGTGTGTTTTGTAAAGTTGTTTAGGACTGTAAATAACCACTGACAGGACACAGAGAGGATTACCTGCCCAAAACACACACATTCTCACTAAAAATACTGATTACTAATCAACCAATAAATACATGCATTCGTTTCTAATTGCAGATTTAGAGACTTACAAAAGTCAATTCCATTTTACATCCGTGCAAACTTGTGAAATCTTTGCTCCTTACCCATAATTCCATACGGATGTCCTCTTATTATGTTTATGATCCATGATAGTAGACACTCAACTGGTAAAAGTGCTGAAGCATCAAATATCTATATCAATATCTCGTTACAAATATATTATTTTGCGGGAAACCATTTCTCGTCCAACCAATGGCGTGAGTTTGGGGGCGGGGCTCTCTACTTGTCCAACCAATGGCGCAGTTTTCAGGAAACTTGTTAAGGATTATTATTTTTTCAACTGTTTTTGACACACTGAGGCTAAATCAGGCAAGAGCACACGATCACATGCTCTCTCTGTTACAATAGGTGACCCAGTAACAGCCTGGCAATGCTACGTACCACACACACACACACACACACTCACCGTCAGTAGGTGGATGTCACAGTAGTACACTAGCTCTCCTCTCAGTTACTGCTCCCAAAAGAACAGTGTCCTACAAAGCAAACACAAACACAAAGAGAAACACACTGAACACACACTCCGCACAGCAGCGCACAGGGAACGTTCTGGAGAGGAATCAGCAAAAGCTCCTGCAGTAATCTCTTCACGTCTGTATTAATGTTCTCAAACCTTTCGCACAAACACTTTATACAGCAGGATATTCATGGAGGGGTCTTCGGAAACCTTTTATTGGATGTTAGACCATAATGCAGCGTTTTTTAAATGTTGTTCAGAACATTCAAAAGTCTTCACTCACACACACACACCCGCTCTCTCACACATACACACACTCACACACCACTGCAGAACTCACACGCTTTGTTCAGACATCAAACCCTGTGTGTGTGTTTATTATGTTCATCAGATTTTCTCTGATTTTTTTTTAGTGCAGGCGAGAGATATCAAAACCAACCAGTTCCACAGGAGCTCGTGTTCACTGACAACATGTTTACACACACACACACACACACACACACACACACACACAGGGTTTAATGTCTGAACAAAGCGTTTGAGATCTGTAGTGTGTGTGTGTGTGTGTGTGTGTGTGTGTGAACAGTTCCAGGTGAGTTGTGAATCTTATATATTAAAAAATAATATATATATATATATATATATATATATTTAAGATTGCACTCACAGAGAAGGATTTCTTGCTTAAAAATAATAAATTCTCTATTTATTTTTCTAAAACTTTTTCATGGGTTGTTCATAAATGTTTTACGGTTTTTCTAGCCCTAAAAATAATGTATGAACTCCATAAAAGTTCTTGATAAGTGCAGTTTTATTTTAATTTTATAAGACTGTACATTTAAAATCATGATGTCTTCAATTTATCTCCATAATATTTACAGGTTTTCACGACTATCATGTATTACTGTAAAACACAGACAGTGTGTGTGTGTGTGTGTGTGTGTGTGTGTGTGTGTGTGTGTGTGTGTCGTTCCTGATCAGTGCGAGTGAAAGAACGGATCACTGCAATGCTGAGTGCTGTGGTTTCTGCTGATCGGTGCTCTGGAAAACACACACACACACACACACACACACACACACACACACACACACACACACACACACACACACACACACACCCTTACACAAAAATACATATATATACACATTTTAACACACACACACACACACACCCTTACAAAACACACACACACACACACACACGCTCATTCAATCACCCAAACAACATCATTGTCACTGAGTGTGTGTGTGTGTGTGTGTGTGTTTATGAGGTTATTGTTCATTATGGCACAGACTGTCCCTCAAACACAACTCTGTCTGCAGGATTGTGTCGTCGTGTGTGAGGTGTGTGTGTAGTGTGTGTGTGTGTGTGTGTGTGGATGGTGAGGTTTGTTGAGCCGCTGGTTATGAATATTCTGCATTCTCCTGAGCGTGGGAACAGTCTGGATCGGGTTATTCAGATCAACTCCAGCATGAACACTGTTCTCAGACTTACATTCATCTCTAGTCCACCGGATCTGTGTCAACATTCAGTATTATCTGCATTATTAATATACGTTTGTTTGCATTTATTTATTCTTTACGGTTTAAACTTAATTTACAACTGGAGTACAAGTAACCAGCATTCCTATTTAAGCACAATAACGAAACAATAATTCATATTTAACAAAATTACTACATTTCTGGAAATAGTTTTAGGTTAAGCCTATAACTTGCCAACATACATCATTTATATATGCATGCATAAAATATGTGTGTATGTATGTATATATACACATCCATAGACATACATATATAAAATGATGTATATGGCCAAAAACCTGTTTATAAGCGCACTGTTTCGGTTCTGCAATAAAACATCATATAATATTTCATACGCAGTAGTTTGGGTGATGATGTCAGCGGCCGGTACGTGTCTCTGTCGTCACTGACAGTCCGTTAAACCGGGACAAATCCCTAAACTGTGTTGGTCCACCTCATAAATAATCATTACACGAGAATTAAAGCTCAACTAAACACACATTAGAGTCGCGCGCGTGCGAAGGGCCTCGAGGACTGACGCATCTCTATAATAACACACTCATTCACGGTATTAAAGTACTGCGTCCAGTCCTTCAAACTGTCCGAATACACACATCATGCTATTGTAAGGTCAGGAATGTTACTCACGGTTGTCGTAAATCTGTCCCGCTGGTGAGTGTGTGTGTTAGAGAGAGAGCAGTGTGGATCAGTGCGCAGTCTCTCTGCTTATCAGCGTCTGTGGAAACGCAGCGCGCAACCAACACGCACCGTCAATACGCATGCGCACACGGGGCTGACACAACCGGAAGTGTGCACACTGCACAAACACACACACACGCTGAAACCCATGCCTGGGAACATTACAACACAACATACGCAGTTCGAATCTACATTTTTAAAATCACTAAAACGTAAATAAATAATAGAAGAAACAAATATATTTATATTTACATTTAATCATTTAGCAGACGTTTTTATCCAGAGCGACTTACAAATAAGAGCAATAGAAGAAATATATATGTATATATATACTAAATGTAAAAACATGTAGACATAAAACACAAATGTTTTAATATTAAAAATAATGTCTAAATCAAATAGCTTTAAATTGTTTCTAATTATTTTATTTCGTGTAAATTATATGCTGATAAATGATTAAACTGATGTCCTGATGGTTCTTCGTGTGTGTGTGTGTGTGTGTGTGTGTGTGTGTGAATGAGTGAATGTGAATGAGTAAGTGTGTGAATGAGTGAGTGAGTGTGTGTGTGTTGTTTATAAATGGATACAACATAAATAAATAAACGGAGCTACAGTTTCATAGGGATTGTGTTTATTTTTGCACTTCTCCGTGTGATAGAAGAAAACAAGCCTCCAGTTTCAGGACTCACTGTCAAACAACACAATTACAAACTGCTTTTTCTGAAAAGTAAAAAACACATAAATCATAATAAATTGAGAATCGCCATAAAGATTCTGCATTAAAAAAACAGCACCAGTGGAAATCAGCCCTGGGTCAACTTTCACACACACACACACACACACACACACACACACGAATCTGTGCAGCTCAAACTCAATCCAGTTCCTGTTTGATCAGAATCAACATCTCAATCTGATTGTGACACACATCCGTGTTCACTGTGAGCGGAGTGTGTGTGAGCAGGGATTTCAACAGCAGGATCACGGACGGTTCACACGTAAAATCAGTCACTGACGCTTTATATATTTCGTTATTACAAAACCAAGACCATCACAACTAACAATAAACGATTTTTATATAAATATATACGTAAAATATAAATATTTCACAGACACTGTATTCATATACTGTGGGCATCACCATCATCATCATCATCACTATAAACACAGACGGTGAGATGAGTGTGTGAGCTTTAAATGTGGAGGGATTCACAGTGCATGTGTGTGTACAAACTATAAACAACATTTATATCATTTATAATACTGAATAATAATAGTTTTCCCTCATCATCTCGTTTGGCGATGTCATGTGATGCGGGGACAATTTTTATAGGATTATTTTTAACTAAAGGCTTCTGGAAAATAATCATATAAAAATATTCAGGAAGTGTGTAACGCGTGTGTGTACCACAGGTTTCAGTCACATGACCCGTCACCAGATCCCGCTGGAGCGTCCGCCGGGCGGAGCCAGGATCCGAGCCGAGGGTCTCTGAGGAACGTGATCGTCCACTTGAGAACCTGCGGAGGACAATCCCACAATCCTCAGCGGTTATTACATCATTAGTGCACACAACTGAGAGGAATATGTGATGCGATGCAAACATGCTGTGTGTGTGTGTGATGCCAAAGCTTTGTTTTATGGAGATCTCAGTTAATCTGCAACTGTTGCTTTTTTCACTAAATGTATACAGCTTTATGAAACTGACCCGAGATCAGGGAAAAAACATAAAGACACTGGCTCACAGAGATCAAACTGAAGTTGGGTAAGGGTTTCATTTCACACACACACACACACACACACACACACACACACACCTGACAGGCTGAAGCTGGACTCGTGCAGGTCTCGTACTCCTGTGTGTCTGACGGCCGCTCGCGTGGGAACGTCGCTCTCTGGAGTGACCGGTTCCTTCCGGCTTGAGTTGGTTACCGTGGCAACATCGCCCGAATACGGCGCTCGGTCCACCCCGCGCAAACTCCGAGTCTGAGGATATTAATAGCGTTAAAGTCACCGTGAAATCAAAGCTGAACATTTTGGTTTCTCTGTAGAAAATATTGTACTATGCTCATCATTACTGTGTTCATGATGTTGAATCAGAATAACAGCAGCATCTCTCCTCTTCTCTGATGATGTGGGCGGGGCTATAACCTGTCATTCACATTAGATCAGCCAATAGCACACCACAACCATCCAATCAAATCCCCACAGACACAATCAAGCCCCGCCCACATGTGCTGTTTCACTCGATATACAACACAATAGATGAGAAACGACCGGCACAACTTCGGTTTCATGTCGCATCTTTCAGGTTATGATAGTGAATGGAACGTTCTGTCAAGGTTCTCTCAATGTTATGAACAAACTTTCTTCCAGTAACATTAATATCCAGTCTTAAATAATGGAGTGTTTTCCTGAAATGTAAAGGCGTGCACACTGAGTCCGAAAGTTTCGTGTGCGGAAAACGCAGAAAATCAAACCCAAACTCTATTAGTTTATGACAGGCAGTGTGTATGTGTAAGCGTGATTGTTTTAACTAGGGCTGTGCAAAAATTAATTGCGATTTATCGCATCCAAAATAAAAGTCTGTGTTTACATAATACATTTGTGTGTGCTGTATATAATTATTTTGTATAATAAATATACCCTTGCATGTATATATTTGAGAAAATGTGTTATTCATATAAAAAATATTTATATTTATATAATATAGATTATGTATTTATATATATATATATATATATATATATATATATATACAGAATTTAAGCGCAAATAATTCTTAAATATATACATGCATGCATAGGTATTTATTTATATAATTATATACAACACACACAAATATATTATGTAAACACAGACTTTTATTTTGGATGCGATTAATCGCAATTAATTTTTGCACAGCCCTAGTTTTAACACAAGGTCGTATTTTATTTTTTAACGTGTGATAATTTCGGACTCGGTGTGCAAGCAACTCTACAGTTTGTCATTCTTCTAATATTTTTTTAAATGTAACAACATTTCAAAACATTCCGAAAACATTCAAAAGTAACGATCTCATGATGTTTGAAAAATGGAATGTTCGTATAACCAAGAAAAAAATGCTTTTAAAAACATCATAAAACTTTTTGTACATTCAGAAATAATGAGATTTAATGACTTATTTTTAGTGCTGGGCAACGATTAATCGCATCCTAAATAAAAGTTTGTGTTCACATAATATATGTGTGTGTGCTGTGTATAATAATTCTAGATGTATAAATACACACACAAACTTTTATTTTGGATGCGATTAATAACCGACATGTTTGTGTTAGCAGGAGAAGCGGTTGATAAAGGAGTCCGCATCACCTTTTCTCTCTGAATGATCTTCTTGTAGAGTATATCGGGGAAGGCCGGCATCGAGCAGAAGCGTCCCGATCCCTGCGCGCAGGAAAACACACCGTTCACACACACCACTCGCCCGCGGCTGATGGTCACCAGTGGCACGCCGTGACAGCGCTGGTTCTCGAACAGGTTAAAGTCTCCGCCCTGAGCCTGAGAGCTCGCGGAGATCGTCCTGAAGTGTGTGTGTGTGTGTGTGTGTCAAACACAGAAGAAGAAGCAGAAGAGGAATTAGTGGGGGGAAATGTTAATAACAGATGGGTGTACACTAATTTAGGGTCACTTTACTGTATATTCACATAGAGAACAGATGATTTACACTGTTTGATCAAATAAAGGCGGTGTGTGTGTGTGTGTGTGTGTGATCCAGTACCGGCAGGCGTCCGGGTCCCACACCACCACATCAGCGTCGGCCCCGGGTGTGATGCGTCCCTTCCGCGGGTACAGGTTGTAGATCTTAGCGGCGTTAGAACTCGTCACAGCAACAAACCGGTTCTCATCCATCTTACCAGAGACCTGAGGAGAGGACAGAGTGTGTGTGAGTGTGTGTGTGAGTGTGTGTGTGTGTGTGTGTGTGTGTGTGTTCGTACCACTCCTCTCTCCCAGATAACACTCATGCGATCCTCGACTCCGGCCGCCCCGTGAGGGATCTTGGTGAAATCCTCTTTTCCCAAGGCTTTCTGCTTCCGGTTAAACGCTCGATGATCCGACGCCACCACGTTTATGATGTCACTGAGCACACAGGAAACACATCATCGTACCTTTATACTGTAACATACACTGTATATTTGTGTTTCTTTGCTTGTAAACCCTATTAGTATGTTGATGTCTTGTTATTTCTGACATGAATGATGGGAGGTGCTGTGAAATGATTGACAGTGATTGGTTCATACTTGCCCAGCAGGCCAATGAGGTAGTCGGGGGTGTTGGGGTCGAGCCGGAGGGGCGGAGCTATGACGTGAGCGGCGGCGTGAGTCCAGTCCTGATGATAATAATGACTCCCACTGAGAGCAGAGTGAGCCACGGTCGTCTCCGCGACAACCACCTTACCTGAAACACACACACACACACACACATCCCACTGAGAACTTCGTGATATAAAATGGGCTCTTTGAATATCTTCAGAGACTCACCTTGCATTCGGGCGGCAGCAATGACGTCGGCCGCTGAAATACTGGACACGTTCACCAAACACACTGGACAGTGAGCCTGTGATGAAGAGCACACGAGTCACACACACACACACACACTTGATCTCTCTGTGTCTGTATGGTTCTCACCCTGTTACCGATGGTTATGGCTCGGTGTGTGGCCTCGGCCTCCAGCTACAGACACACACACACACACGCACAGACGTCAGTCATGATGAAAGCAAAGGCTCAAACAACGTGTGTGTGTGTGTGTGTGTGTGTCTCTCACCTCCTCCGGTCGACTGACCTCCATCCCCTCAGGACCACTGATGCCCAGATCCAGAGCCTCTTTAGCCCCCTAAACATGTGCACAAGAAACACATGTGTGTGTGAGTGAGTCAGTGAGTGAGCGAGTGAGTGAGTGTGTGTGTGTGTGTGTGTGTGGTCGTCTGACCTGCAGCACTAGTTCCCCGTTCTCCGCATGCAGGCGCGCGACGGCTCCGGTGTGTTTGCAGGTCTGCAGCGTCTGGTAGATCTCAGAGTCTCTCAGCATCAGGTCTTTATACGCCATGAACATCTGGAAGGAGTTTACGCCTCTCTCGGACACCAGCTGCTCCATCTCCCGCCGCACCTCACACACACACACACACACACACACAATAGTCAAGACATCCTCATTTATACAGCGCTTTTAACAATGTAATGAGTGGTATAGCTTTAAACACTACACATTAAACATTAAACTCTTCCGTTCAAAAGTTCGGGTTCAGTAAGAATTTTTATTTTATTTTCGGGGAAAGAAATAAAAGGACAAATTAAATTGATCAAAAGTGACAATATAGACATTTATAATGTTACAAAAGATTATACTTCAGATCAGTGCTGTTCTTTTAAACTTTCTATTCATCAAATATCCTGAAATAAGTGTAAATAACTTCATAATAATCATAACTGTGTCTTGATCCTCATATTAGAGTGATTTGTGAAGGGTCATGTGACACTGAAGACTGGAGTAATGATGATAAACTCAGGAATAAATTACACTTTACTGTATATTCACATAGAACACTGTTATTGTCACAATATTACTTTTTTTGTATTTTTAATCAAATAAATGCAGCCTTGCTGAGCGGGAATACATTAAAAATCTTACCGATCCCAAACTTCTGGCTGGTGTGTGTGTGTGTGTGTGTGTGCATCATGAGCACGTGCACTACCTTCTGCCCACACCAGGTGACGCCCACGTGCAGCGCGTAATCACAGCAGCTGTTAGCGTCAGCGTGAGCGCGCATCTGCTCAAACGCCTCCAGCAGTGATGCGTCTCTCTCGGGAATCACGTGACCAATCACCATCGTGGTCCCGCCCAACAGCGCTGCCTACAGGCACAGGCCAGAACTGAGTGTGTGTGTGTGATGCTGAGAGAGAAGGACACACACTCTCTCTCACACAGCTATATTTGTCTAGGTAAAGGATGCATCTCCATCCACACATCAGTCAAACGGCAGTGATGTCACTGACATGATCTTATATTTGCATACAGGAAGTGTATGAGTCTCTTTCCTGTGTGTATCAGGGCTGATCCGTCTTAGCAAACACTGACAACACCGTTACTATAGAAACTGAACAGACACAGTGTAATAGAGCGAGGCAGAATAAACCTAAGTGTGACTGTGTGTGTGTGTGTGAGAGAGAGAGTGTTAAAGAATCAAGGTTCATATCATCTTTAGGATGTTTTATGTTAGTGTATGATGTCATAGTTCCGCTACTGTGATGTCATACACCGATCGATCGGTCTGTACAGCACCGCTTCAAGTTGAACACACTCTCTCTCGTCTCATGCTGGCTCTGCTCCAGGCGTCGTGTGTGTGTGTGTGTGTCTCACCCTGGTTCCGCTGTAGAAGTCGTCTTGTGTCGAGGCGTTCATGAAGCTCTGCTGGAAGTGAACGCTGGAGTCGATCCCGCCAGGAATCACCAGTTTTCCGCGTGCGTCGATGACCTCGGCTCCGGGAATGACCAGTTCCCGCTCGACCCGCCGGATGATCCCGTTCTCCAGGAACACGTCCGCCTCCTCAGTGACATCATTGTTCACCACACGCCCACCTCTGATGAGGATCCTGGAGGAGCCGGCGGCCATCACTGCAGACAACACTGATCATAATCATGTGATCATGTGACACTGAAGACTGGAGTAATGATGATAAATTCAGCTTTGATCAAACTACACTTTACTGAATATTCACACAGAGAACTGATGATTTACATTAGAATAATATTTCACTATTTTACTGGGGGGGGGGGAGAAAAAACCTTTATTGAAAACAAATTATTCCAAATTGACTGATAGTGTAAATGTGCATTATTATTAACATTCACACATCAGTCATATGTACATGACTGATACATATTTTACTGAAGTTCCATTATTCATAAAGGAAAAACACTTTATTCTCTCTCTCTCTCTCTCTCTCTCTCTCTCTCTCTCTCTCTCACTCACACACACACACACACTCACTCACAACAAAAACAAGAAAATAGGTCATCCTTTCTTTAACAAGATCTGTTGTGCACATGCATGTTGCTCAGGATATAAAAATATAAAAAACAGCTCGCATGAACACACACACACACACACACACACACACACACACCCAAAGCCTGTGACTAATGCAACATTATCATGCAAATACACATGATGACATCAGTGTGTGATCATGCATGTGTGTAATGTGCGAAACATAAGAAACATGCGTCTGACTGTGTGCTTACATCACTGCGCGCGCACACACACACACACACACACACACGCACACATACCCATACACACTTACTCACACACACACATTTGAGCACAAAAGAGCTGGTTTTGGACAACAGCACACTGATTATTTTCTTTTCTTGTGTGAAAAAACACACAATAACAATAATCTGTATATCATAATAAAAAAACAAACACACAAAGAGGATGATGAAGATGTTTCACACATGTTTGTGCATTTAGGTCTATGATCTCTTCATCCCCCATCGGTCATATTCTCTAGCATTAAACTACTTATAATAGGCTATTAGCCTAACATGCTCACTTAAACATTTACTTTTATGATTTATATATTCTAATATTATTAATAACATCAAACATCACTGTCCCCCTAAAAGCCCTCACACCATGACTGAATAAATAAACACCTATAAACAGACATTTACTATAATATAAATATTCTAATATTATTATCATTGATTACAATGCATAACATCATTCATAATTGCCGTTCTGTCAGAGCTGTCTTCATAACACATAACTGAAATATTTGATGGTTAGTTCATCATCTCAAGCTAAATTCACCCGTTCTTCTCCCCGTTTCACACTAAAAACACACATAAAGGTTTGCAGACATAGTGGAATTAATATTAATAATGAATTGTTAACGTACCGAAAACGGATGAAGCTGTTTGATGATCTGCTCCTCTCGTGCACCGATGACAGCTGTTCCTGCGCGCGCACGAGAGACCGCGACGGCGGCGCGCCAAGCTCTTTGATGGACAGGCGAGAGAACCAATGAGAGGCTCGGGTCAGTAAATTTAGCCTTTTGTTGTTAAGATCAGATATTTAGTTGCTTTTAAATTATTAAATGTCTTCCAGGAATCTACTATGAACTCAATAGGAGATGTACACACACACACACACACACACTAAGAAATGACATGAAAATTGTGGGTTGTGGGAAAATTGAGGGTTTTTATTATCAACAAATCTAGTCATTAGCATAATTCTCTGTTCATAAAATGACATAAAACAAACACTGATCCTGTGAACTTCAAAACAGGTCATTATAGTGACGACGCTAAAGCATTTATCACATTTAAATTAATGGAAAACATCGAATAAAAATCAGGATGGATGCAATAAAAACATACAAAATGAAATAAACAAAAGAGCATGAAGATATTTATCATTGTTTCCCCGATATTTTGGCCTTGTGTAAATGCATCCGTTGGCACGAGTGTGAAATATATGCTTTTATAGGCACGCGCGACTCATTTCATCAGCACTGTCTGATGTCGTTATAATGGCATTGATTGTATTAATATTTGAGATGGTATTTCCATGGTATTATTAGATGTGCATTTAGAAAATCGACAGGGTGAATTTTCACTTCATGCCAACTTTATGAAATAACACAAATGTGAATTATGCTTTGCATCAGCTTTTAAACACTGTTGACAGAGGAACATGAATCATAATTCTCATTACTTTTGCTTTTTCCCTTGATCATCTGTGTTTAGTGTGTGTGATGTTGCTGTTTGAGCATTAAAAAAGCTCCAGTTCTTCTCTATATCACTGTTTCTGAAACGCCTCCATTGTTAGTCTTGAGTTTGGGGAACGAACAAGTCACAAGATTCCTCATTATAATAATTAATGCGCAGAATAAAGGGGCGGGGCCTTGTTGAGTTAGTTAGTAGTGTGTTAAAGTGGTGGTTATGGAAAGGGGCGGGACATTTCCCAAACACACTCGACCAATCACAACACACTGCTCCAGCCGACCAATCAGAGCGCAGTGTGCTTTCAGAAGGAGGGGCTTCATAGAGACAGGAAGTAAACAGAGCGTTACTGACAGACTGGGAAGAGAGGAGCCGCAACAATGGAGAATATGAGGAGAATAATCAACATTCAAGCAGGAAAACCTGTTCTAGTAGAGAAACGACATCATCACGACCCATAATAGGCCATCTTTAAGTTGTTAAGATCAGTGTTTGTTGGCAACGGCGTCAAACATCATTCATCACTTTGGCCAATAACTCATAACAGGCACTCAATAAACCATCAAGGGTTAAAAAGCAAGAATTTCTCAGATATTCCTGCATATTTCATTACTGCAAACACGGTTTACTAAACGTCTAGGAGCTGACTATACCGATGTGTGTGTGTGTGCACGCGCAGTTGGCACTCTTTAGGCGAAGTCTAAAAATGCCTGTAGCCAAAAGCGCCAGTATGTCAGGTAATCCTAAACCACAGCTGAACACACACACACGCACACATATGGGTTGGCAGTACGGAACAATGCCTGGCTTTATATGAGCTCAGCAGGAAAACACACACAGACTTTCACACACACACACACACACACACACACGGTTGATCTGTGACATCCATGATCCTCTGCGCCGGGCGTCTGGTTCGGGCTTTACTGGCACTGCGGTGTCGTTCAGAGAGTGAATGTGAAATCACACACACCACTCGTCTCCATCATTTCCCCACGGCACACACACTCCTGAAACAGCCGAGAGCAGAACAAATGTGTGAAATCATATCATATCATCTCTAATACGACATATTAAAAGAAAACACATGTTAAATATCTCTGTGTAGTGTACATCCGAATTAACTGTGTAATATCTGTGAAATCATTTGTTTAATCAAAATGATGTTGTCAGGAAAAGTGAACTGGAAAAATGTCGTAAAAAACATTTAAAAAAGTAAACGAGTGCACATGGATTCATTCCACCGCTTGTTTGGGGTACTTGAAAAGAAATCAATATTTTATTCAGCAATGATGCATTCGATTGATCTAAAGTGACAGTAAGGCTTTTTACATTGTTACAACATTTTTTTTTATTAATTCTGTTCTTAAATCAATTTTCTATTAATCAAAGAATCCTGAAAAGAACATTAAAGGGTTAGTTCACCCAAAAATGAAAATTAAGTCATTAATTACTCACCCCCATGCTGTTCCAACCCCGTAAGACCTTCGTTCATCTTCGGAACACAAATGAAGATATTTTTGATTGAATCTGAGAGCTGGATCACTCTTCCATAGGCTTCCTAAGGGACTGCCTCTTGACGGCCCATAAAGTCATTAAAGAAAAGGTTTAAATATTCCATGTGCCTACAGCGGCTCAATTATAAGTTTATCAAGCGACGAGACTACTTTTTGTGCGAAAAAAACATAAATAACGACTTAATTCGACTATTCTATTACTTCCTTATGGGCGCATGCGCGAGAACTGAGACGAGGACGTTCTCATTCGTCTACTTCTTGTTACCGGCTGCTCCGCTTAGGAGTGTTACCGCCCCCTATCGTATAAGATGATGTGCTGATATAGCTGGGAGCGAAAAACTTTCTGTTTACAAGCAGAGGAAGATGCGCGCTGTACATACGCTTTTCAATTAGTGTATTTTCCGCACTATAAGGTGCACTTAAAAGCCTTTAATCTTCTCAAAAAACGACAGTGTGCCTTATAATCCGGAGCGCCTTATATATGGATCATCATCTTATACGGTAGGGGGCGGTAAAACTCCTAAGCGGTGAGCAGCCGGTAACAAGAAGTGGTCAAATGAGAACGTCCTCGTCTCAGTTCTCGCGCATGCGCCAATAAGGAAGTAATGGAATAGTCGAATAAAGCCGTTATTTATGTTTTTTTTTTTTGCACAAAAAGTAGTCTCGTCGCTTGATAAACTTATAATTGACTTCCCAGTAATAAGTTATAAGGGACTTCCCAGTCCCTTAGGAAGCCAACGGAAGAGTGATCCAGCTCTCAGATTCAATCAAAAATATCTTTATTTGTGTTCCGAAGATGAACGAAGGTCTTACGGGGCTGGAACAGCATGGGGGTGAGTAATTAATGACTTAATTTTCATTTTTGGGTGAACTAACCCTTTAATTCTAGAAATTAATTCTAATTAAAAAAACAGGGAAACTTTCCATCAGTAAACACAGCGGGAAATAATCATAAGTGACAAAAAACATGTTCTGAGTTTTTTAAAAGTTTCTTCGGGAACAGTGACTCTGTATCGTTCTGAACCAAGAAACATTTAAAAACTGTTACATTTAAGTGTATGACTGCAAATGGACCCGAGAAAATGAATTCTAGGCTATTGGTAAAAACGACTTCTAGCGCCACCTAGTGTAGAAATGATGCACACGCCGTACGGAGTCTGTGTTTGAGCACAAACAAATAATGAAGAACAATAGAAACAGAAGAAACACAATAGCACAGAGAGAGAGAGTAACAGGATCAGAGTGAATCCCTGAGCGAACGGATCGACTTACAGCAATAAAACCCGATTCAACACTGAACACACACACACACACACACTTCAAACAAGATCATCGTTCGATTGATTGGCTTTATCTGAGAGAAATCTGATCCAACATCAGCCATCATCTTTAAATCAAGCTTCAGGATCCACATGAAGGCCAGCCATTGTTTCTGTCAGCTTTGGGAAAGAGCCACAAAAAACAGGGAAACTTTCCATCGGGACACACTCCTGAGGACACTCATGCTCTGAGCTTTAGAAACGTGTAAAAGCGTTTCTTCTCGGTTTCTTCAGTGACACTGTATCGTTCTTCACACATTATGGAACGTTACTTTTGAATCATTTAAAAAGTGTTACATTTAAACACACATCAGCTTGAGTGATGTTTGTGTATGAACACCATTAAAGACCAGATAACTTTGAACAAATGTTCTATTAATGTTACTGGAGGAACCTTTGATCTCCGATGTTTCTCCAAAACTTCTTTCTTTTGTAACACACAGATCCTCACTCTGGCTCGGCTCTATAAAACCTGCTCATTTCTACTGAAACATGAGATGCAGAAGAACCTCCAGAAACAACATCTGGAGCAGCACACACACACACATGCTCACAATCATACACACACGTTCCTCTAACAGGCAGGATTGTGTGTGTTTCTCGTGAGCGTCTCTGGTTTCTCCTGCTCTTTTCACTGCTAATGCAACTTTAGAGGCACAACACGGATCGAGTTTCCATCCGGCGCCATTCTGAGGGAAAACCCACACACACACACACACACTGTACTGTTCTGTGTTGAGTTAGCTAGTTTGCCGTTAACAGTACTAAGGTATAGTGATGATAAATGATTACCTTTATATATATAGTCTATGATATTGTGTAAAAGCAGAGTATCTGTCCATGAGTGATGTTGAAGAGCATGTGTGTGTTCACACACTCACCCTCACTTGTTCTGCTCTCTGATTCTCAAGCATCGTCTCTTGACGGGCGGCTCTGGATCGCTCTCCTCAGATCCCGGTGCGTCTGTGTGTGTGTTCTCCTTGTAGGTGTGCGTGAGAGTGTGTAAATGTGTTTGAGCGTCTGTGTGTGCGTTGCTCTTACACGTGTGTGTTTGAGTGTTTAAATGTGTTTGTGCGTCTGTGTGTGTGTTCTTCTCGCAGGTGTGTGTTTGAGTGTTTTTCTCACACACAGCCCGCGCGTACGTGTGCTCTACACACTGATTCGCTTCCTCGTCCCCAACGCTCTCTTTCGATTGGTCACTCCGGCAGTCTGCTTGCTGCTGATTGGCCGAGCCGTTGCCCCGCCCACCCAGGCAGCTGTTCTCCTTCACATCTTCACAATCCGAGAGAGGAGAGGAAATCTGGGCGGAGCTACTGCCGTCCAATGAGAGCGAGGCAGCCTGTATGGCGGTCGAACGAGCCAACGAGTACAAAGAGGCGGGAGTGACGACTCTGCCGTCCAATGAGGCGGAAGCAGTCGATGTCACCACGGGCGTGTAAAGTGCTTTGGTTTGAATGTGAGTGTCGTGATCTTCCTCTTTCACCGGGACTCTCCGGAGACACCGGATCACTTGCCGCTCCGAGGTCGAGGGAAAAGGGGACGCACACTGTTCAATCTTCACTCTGTTTTCACTAATCTCCTCTGAGGGACACGGATCAGGTGTGCGCTTACTAAACTCCGTGTCCTGAAGGCTTCGAATCACTCCTATGTGGGGCGTCTGATGGGGAATCGGGATGGGAATGGGAATGGGAATGGGGATTGGCACAAAAACGGGATATGGCATCAACATCATGGGCTGTGGCCACGGCGAAGGCATTTGAGGAGGGAATGGCGGGTGGAAAGGTGTGTGTGGGTGCAGGAAAGGAGGCGGAGCAAACGACGCCCTGTGGGAGGGGCTAACAGGATGAGGGGCGGGGCTTCGCAAGGCCTGTGCGTGAAGGGGAGGGCGCACAAAGGGGGGCATGTGAGGTGGGCGTGGCTTCTCGAGTGTAAAACGAGGCGGCGATTGAATCTTCGAGACGTGTGTTCGCAGATGATGATGATGATGATGATGATGCCGTCGGGGGGGTTTTGGCAGGAGAATCCCAAGCCTCCGGGGTCAGAAGTTTCTGGTTTTCCGTGGTGACCGGTTTGGGCCGGTTCTCCTCGTCTTTGGCACTGGTGAGCGCGGCGCGAGCTTCCCGGTAGAACACGTCCATCTTGTACTGGTTTAGACATTTGGTGCTGCAGAACTGCAGTCGCTCCTCCCCCGAGCCGAAGTCCAGGTACTCTTTAGTGTGACGCACGTGTTTACACCAATCACACACCTGCAGAGAGAGAAGCACTCATTACTGTACATGATATAATAAATATACTGTTATTATTAGCTCTCCCTCACAGCACTGCCGTTCCAAAGTTTTGGATATGATTATAATGTAAAGCAGCTGTTTTCTATGTGAGTATATAATTGATAATAATCATAACTGTGTGTCGATCATCAGATCCTCATATTAGAGTGATTTGTGAAGGGTCATGTGACACTGAAGACTGGAGTAATGATGATAAATTCAGGAATAAATTACACTTTACTGTATATTCACACAGAGAACAGCTGATTTACATTAGAATAATATTTCACAATATTACTGTTTTTAGTATTTTTAATAAATAAATGTTGAGCAGAAGAGACTTTTCAACTTTTGACTAGTAGTGAGTGTTATTTTAACTGGACATCACATAATGAATGTGCCATCGTTAGAACACGTGTGTGTGTGTGTTTGTTTACACGCGTGTTGTTGTTGTTCATCTTCAGCAGAAGTCTTGTGGGCGTGTCCAGCGTTTGCCCAGGGGGCGGAGACTGGTCGCCATGACGATCCTCATCACGAGCCTTGAGGAAACACACACACACACACACACAAATCTCAAGTACTTCGTTGGAAACAGAAAGTATTTGGACACTGAAATGATCAAATCAGTGAAGATTGTCTGTGTGTGTGTGTGTGTGTGTGTGTGTGTAGTTAAAGTGATTTCACACAGTCACTAGAAATCCAACGTCACACACTCTCAGTCTCAGTCACGTTAGTCACTACATCTATTGTTTTATCATCTTTCTTTCCATTAAATGTGTGTGTAAGTGTGTGTGATGGGTAGATTTTGGGGTCAGGTTAGTGTGAGTGTGTGTGTGCGTGTGTGTGTGTAAGAAAGAGAGAGAGAGAGTGAGAGTGACTGTTTGTGTGTGTATGTGTGTGAGAAAGAGAGAGAGAGACTGTGTGTGTGTGTGTGTGTGTGTGTGTGTGTGCACGCAATTGTGTGTATGTGTGAGGGAGTGAGAGTGACTGTGTCTGAGTGTAAGTGTGTGTGTGTGTGTGTGTATCTATGTAACCGGAGCGTTCTGTGAGTAAAGTATGCACTGTAAGCTGAAACTCTCTCTCTCAGACACACACAGGCTCGAGCTCGTCTCAGTCTCTCTCTCTCTCTCACACACACACACTCACACACACACACAGGCTCGAGCTCGTCTCAGTCTCTCTCTCTCTGTCACACACACACACTCACACACACACACACAGGCTCGAGCTCGTCTTAGGATAAACTATCCTCTGTGTTTCAAACTGACTCTTTCTCTATTGTGGGAATGAGCAGCTCACCAAACACAAACACAGCAGCCTGAAGTGTGTGTGTATGTGTGTGTATGTGTGTGTGTGTGTGTGTGTGTGCAGTCAGTGATGTAGTTCAGTAAGCTCAGTGTTTCTAGTGTGTGATGGCGTATCCACATATCCAGGTGTTTTGTTGGTCAGCTGCGGTCTCTAGAGGTCGTGTGTATGTAAATGGTGTGTGATGTGTGTGTTCAGTGAGATCTGACGGGTTGTACCTTGTTGCGTTTGAAGTACGCGCGCCGACACGAAGCGAAACACTTCTCACTGCAGAAGCTCTTGAGCTCGGAGCCCATGAGCAGAGAGTAGCGCTTCATGCCCTCCTTCTGACACCACACACACACGATCTGCACACTCTGCACATCCTCCACTGAGCAGAGAGAGAGAGGAAACACTCAGAGGAGCAGAGAGAGAGAGAGAGTGTGTGTGTGTGTGTGTGTGTGTGTGTTGTGTTACACACCGGCTGAGGGTTTGATGAGTGGCACGATGACGTTCATGCTGTGTTGCTCCTTCACTCGCGGGGAGGAAGAGTGTGATGATGATGATGACGATGATGATGAAGATGGCGAGAGAGGGTCTTTCTCTCCGTTCCTCACGAGCTCTGAGGAAGAGGACGACACCTTCCTCTCTGTGGCCTGTGGGTTTGGTACGGAGTTCTCTAGAGGGAACAGGAAACGTGTGTGAGTGTGTGTCTCTGTGTGTGTGTGTGTGTGTGTGTGTGTGTGTACTTACCTTTAAGAACAGATATATGATTGCGTTTGACACGGTTTCTGGCATCGGACGCGTCTGACTCCTGCAGCTCCACCTGATCATATCCGTACCAACCCAACAGCTCGTTCATGGTGCTTTCAGCAAAACTCTACACACACACACACACACACACACACACACGTGTTTAATCACCTGAGTTCAGAGAAGACACTTACAGACAGGCGTATAGATAGACAGATAGATACATGTAGAGTGTGTACGTGTGTGTGTGTGTGCCAAGTTTAGTTTAAAAAGAAAGCCTTCTGTAACTCAGACACAATCGCTCGTCTCTCCTCATGTCAGAGACTGATCCGAGATCAGACTGTTGATCTGAAGCCGGATCCGACATCACAAACAGCAGCTGGTGATCTCAGCAGCACGACTGACCCCAGATCAGCGGCCGGAGAGTGTCTGTCTGAGATTAGACAACCGTCACTCGATCCTCCAGGAAAATCAGAGGACATTTAACACCAGTGCAGAGTCACACACTTCCCAGAAATACTCTCTCTCTCTCGAAGACTAATTACATCTCTCTCTCTCTCTCTCTCTCTCGAAGACTAATTACATCTCTCTCTCTCTCTCTCTCTCGAAGACTAATTACATCTCTCTCTCTCTCCTGTCAGATTGATTCTGCTGTTTTCTCATTAGCAGGAGACGGGCTTTTCCCTTCCTCCGCTTCAATCCCACAATGTTGTTTCTGTTTTTCCTGGCAGATCACACACACACATCTGTTCTTGGAGAGTGACAGGCCTGTCCCGAAACCCCCGCCAAAGGCAACAAACCCGGCGCGACCCCGTCCTCGCTCGCATCAGGCCCGGATACGGTTTCATGTGTTTGGATTAAAATTAGTTAAGTTGTAACTCTACACTCCCCAATGGAGATCGTTTAGCTGAGACCCAGAATCGCTCCCACAGAAAGAGCCGTTTCCTCACTCACAGAGATGGAAAATCTCACAGAAAACACTCGGTAACGCGGGCTGCGGTGTCACGTGGGCATCCGCTTATAAACACACATTAGATCAGGTGTCCGGCTCGCGTATCACACACACTCTCCTGAAAGAGGTCTCGGCTTGAATAAAAGCCAGGAACTCAAGAAGGTCAAGGTGTCAGTTGTGTGAGTGTGTGTGAGTACTTAACACACATCTGGTGCTGAACGTGCTTCACTGAAACGCATTGATTATGTGCAGTGTTTCTACATAATCTGACGTTTCAAAATGAATTTTGTATGCCGAATACCAATTGGTGATGTAGTAATGTACATTTTATATTAAATATTGTATTTTTAAAATGCCTTTATATAATTTTTTTTAATGTTTGTCGATTATATATATATATATATATATATATATATATTTCCAATAGTTTTATATTTTTTATTAAATGTTTTATTTAAAATATGAAAACGTTATTTTTGAATATATAAAAACGTTGATTTTTGTAATTGCATTACATTGTATTTTATTTTTTCAACATTTCTCTAATTATTCTATATTTTACACTTTTAAAATAAAATATTGGATACAAAATATTTTAATACAGATATTAAAAATAAATGTGTATTATGTAAAATTGTATAAAATATTATATATACATATATACATATATATATATATATATATATTCAAATATTTTATTTTTATTTTCTATTTAATTTTTTATATTTTAAAAACAAATGACTTAGAAAAACGAAATGAATATAAATAAATATAAACGAAAGTAATATAAAAACATAAAAAATAAATACATTATTTTAAAAATGTATTTTAATAATTTTAATAATCGTATTACATTAAGTATTTTATTTTTTTTAAACATTTCTATATTCTATTGTAAATATTTCTATATTCTATTTTAAATATTTCTATATAATTCATATATATAATCTATATATTTTAAATAAAATATTCAATACAAAATGAAAATAAAATTATATCAAAACAAATACATTACATAAAAATAAAATATAAAAAGTATTAAAACTTTTTTTTCTATAGGCCTAATCTTACTACATTCGGTATTTTATTTAAGCATTTCTATATTCCATTTGTTGTTTGATATAAAAATCTACTTTATGCATTTGTTTTTAAACAGATAAAACATTATATACATACATACACTGTATATATAGGCCAACATTATAAATATATACTGTATATATAATGTTTTATCTGTTTAAAACATATTAGTATCCACAACACCACATTACTCCAGTGTAACACACACACACACACACTTCTGTCGTCACAATCACATCATCTCAAAGCCCTGCAGAACTCGAGCACCAGTACATGATGAACTGGTCTCTGGTCTCCAGTTTGAGAAACCAGTGAACCTCGTGTTTCCATCAAGCGTCTGAATCTGAACAAGTTCACCATAACACACACACACACACACACACACTCCGGTCGCTCAGCTCAGCGGGATTGTCATGTTTGGCGTCGCTCACCTTCATCTCCTCGTTCACGGCTCTCCGGACGGGACGCGCGGTTTTCCTGCTGCGCTTGCTCTCCGACGCGCGCGACGCTGTGTCCATCTCCGGCATGATCGCAGCGCGGCGCGCGGGACCGACGCTCACAGGCGCGGCTGACACGCGAATCTGACGCGGCGCGCGGGAACAATGAGAGGAGATCAGGAGGAGGAGAAACTCTACACTCACACACACTCCCAAGATCAGGTTCTGTAGGAATGCGAGGAGCGAGTCAGGAAAGCACAGGCTGGCTCTCTCACTCTCGGGCACGAGCACGGCTTCGGTTACGCGCCTCACATTTCTGAACATTTCTGCAGGACAAGGACATAAAGCATACTTTCTAAGGATAAATCTTAATTATGACATTATAAAGTCTAAATTATGCAATAAAGTAAAAGTGAGATACACTGAGCCATATCTATGAGATTACAAGTGCATATTACGCCATGCTGAGTCCAGAGTGGAAATTATGATAGCCTTATGTCAATACATAATTACAAAGGTTAAAATAATCATTATGAGAGGCTAGAAATAAGTCAGAATTATGACATTAAAAAGTCAAAATTAAGAAATAAAGTAAAAGTAGGACACACTGAGCCAAATCTATAAGATAGAATTAAAAAATGATTCAATAAATTCAAAATTATGATATAAAGTAAAATTATGACAGACTAAATTTTAACTATAGGAATAAAAATTTAACATTGTGACATGCTAAAACATAATTATGAGTCAAATTTTAAATATTAAACCAGAAACTATAAGATAAAGTTGATATTAGCCTGTCATGCTAAGTCATTATTATGAGATAATACGTTGAAATTATGACCGTCATAATCATGAGATTTAAAAAGTAGAAATTATGACATGCTAAAACGTGATACAAATATTTAATGATGAAAAAAAACGTTAGAAATGAGATAATGTCGAAATTATGTCACACTAAGTCATTTATGACAGTCTGCTGAGTCATAATTGTGACGTAAAAAAATATGATAAAAAGTAAAATTGTGATCCACAAAGTCATAATTATTTTTTTAAAAAGTAGAAAACAAAAACAAAAAGTTTCTCTCTCTCTCTCTCACACACACACACACACACTCTCTCTCTCTCTCTCTCTCTCTCTCTCCTGTAAGCTGAGAGCCGGTTCGGGGCCCCGGGTCTGGTTTCGGCCCGGCGGGCGTCATCGGATCCCCTCTGGCAAACACACACACACACACACTCCTGAAACTCCCTCCACACACACTTCATACAAACACACATCTGCTGCTGGAGCACCTGAAGAGCATCTCACACACACACACACACACACACACACACACACACACACACACACACACACACACACACACACACACACACACACACACACACACACACACACACACACACACACACACACTCAGCTCTCAGAAACATGCAGAAGAAGCTGTGTTTGTGCTTTGTCAGTGTGTGTGTGAGCAGCTGAAGTGCCTCTTCTGGCCGCTAGAGGGAGATGCAGCTTCACTCATGAGTCTGTGCGCCTGCGCGTGTACAACCGAAGCACTGACTGGGATGTCCCCATGTTCTGTTTCTATTTACGCCAATGTAAATAAATAAAAGTACTGTGGTAATACCATGATAAATGTCCAAAAACCCACAGTATTACCATCAACCCGGTTAGCAACTTTAATTATTTTGTAAACATTACCGTAACGTTACTTTTGAATGTTCTCTGAACGTTCTTCTGCCTACTACCTAGCTAACATTGTAAATATAAATATATACAAACTAAAACCTTCTATGAATGATGATTATATGCTAATGTTTCGAGAACATTAATAAAGACCAGATAACGTTAATGTTACTGGAAGAACCTTTGTTCATCAATGCTTATCAGAAACATTTTAGATTGTTAAATGCTACTTTTATACCTGACATGTCGGTGTTCACATGCTTACCTGACTGACTTGTGTGTGAGAAACACACACTCGATTCGGTTCTCTAAAGAAATGCGTGCGACTGCGCTGTGTGTGTGTGTGTGTGTGTGTGTGTGTGTGTGTGTGAGGTGTGCTTCCACACGCGGCCGCCAGAGGGCGCGCCAATCAAAGAAACTCCACAGCAATTATTAACTGTTTTTTCTTCCAAAGTTTTAGATATGAATCCATATAGAGTCATTATTCCTCGCTATGACTCTCCAATGATCTCTAACTGACATTTAGCCTGCTAGTTAGCCCCAGATATACTAGGTATGTGTTATAAAAATGCAAAGAGAGCAAACTTTCCTTTTGGGGGGGGGGGGGGGGGGGGACGGGGACGTTACACCTCCAGTTCATGCCCCTATCCTATAAAAGCTCCAGTAGCAGCCGGCGTCTCCCTTTAGATGAACCCACTCTCACAACAGCTTCACTCTTCATCATCTCTATCTTCATCACCAGAATGGCTCCCGCTGGAGTAATTTTCTGCGCTTTCTGCCTAATCACTCAGGTAGAGTCCACATGTTGATTATAAATGCTTATACTTCATAAGATATACACTGTGACGGTATTTCTTCTAAAACAAACCCTGTTGCGGTATTTTCCTGTTATCTCTGTAAAGTGTGTGTGTGTAAAGCGCTAATGCTTTTTAAACGTGTTATACGCATTATAGATCTGAGGTGTAATGCAGCTGTAATCAGCATATGTTTATATATATATATATATATATATATATATATATATATAAAGTCAATATTAAAATTAAATGAAGTAACTTTTACAAAGTTGTGCATCATTCATCCTCAATTCCAGTCGCACGCGATTGAGTGTTTGCAAAGTTAAATTATAGGGCACTTTGTTCGTTTTTAAATGTGGAATCAGCGTCATGATAATCATTTTAACGAGCTAAATTGCACAAACTACATTATAGTCAATCATTTAACTACAAAAAAATTGATTAATTTAAAAAATGCAAAATTATCCCAACAAAAATTTCGCTCATTTTCGTTTGGAGAAAGGCGCATTTTGTTAACATCTCGTCCACCGCGCTTGGGTTTTTTGGAGAATGAATCATTTAAAGTGTATCGATGTCTGCCCGAGGCTTGAGTTTCTCAGAGACTGCTCTGTCTCGGACACCTGATCCAACACACACACACACACTGCACTCACTCTCTCCACTCGCTTTTATCTCAGATTGACTGGACCGTGCATGAGAGACACATGAGTTCATGCGGTTTCCCTAAGCGAATCTTAAAGGATGTTTCAGTTTTGCGCACGTATTTAAAACGCTCATTGGAGCATATGCATTTCATGCAATATGCAAACATGTGTGATTTGCATGAAGAAAATCCATCCCGCTGAGATTTGAAGATGCAAATGAAGGTTTTGGAAGTGTTTTGCATGTCTTAAGCGTGGCGCGTAACGATCGCGCGTAACTGTCTCATTTGCATGTGCTCGTGTGATAATGTCCTTCTCTTTTTCCCCCCTCAGGTTATGTCCCAGAGCACAGTCTCCCCGAACAACTCCACCGTGCAGGCCGGGAATCAGACCGTGAGCGCGAACGACACCATGGCCACTGACACGTACGGGGGCTCCACGAACGCGACCGCGCCCACCGGCACCGGCGTCATGACGGAGCCTCTCGCGCTTTACGTGCTCGTCCCCGTCGCCTTGGCAAGCATCCTCCTGCATCTCTGCTGTTGAGGTTCAGGTTCACAGCTTCATCATCATCATCATCATCATCATCATTCACATGTTCCTCGGGCCGGTCCTGCCTCCTCTCCTCCTCTAGCTTCACTCAGTCGGATCTCTCGGCCCTGGGCACATGGAGGACGTTTTTAAAACCTTTCCCACCAGAAAACTTCCAGTTTTTGCATTGCTGAGCTTTTAGAGCGACATGAAGGCAGATGTTCCGGCACAAATCTGCTGGACGGGACATTGTATGATCTTCGGTTGATGGCCGGATCGTGCAAGATGCATTTTACACATTGTGATCCAAACTAAAGTCACGTTTTTTTTTTTTTTTTTTTTTGAATGGGTCTTTTGGGTTTGTCACTTCGCGCTGCAGGTGTGTGTCACCTGTATTTGCCCACTTTAGTTCTGAATCAAACTGTTAGTCATTCATTGGCATGAGATGGACACTTTGTAATATTGTTTTTCTCTTGCATAGTTTATATTTTGTACAAATTCGTTTTAATGTTTGTAAAACATGAGTACATGAGAATAAACAATGTACACTTGAACTAGTTTGGCTTGTTTGATGCATGGGAGATGTTCCGATTTTTTGCGGTAACACTTTATATTACAGTGTCCTTGTTACATGTTACATGTAGTAATTACAGTAAATTATGCATAAATACATGCAAATAACCCTCAACCAAACCCTAACCCTATAGTAAGCACATGTAGTTGCTTAATATGATAATTACACTGTAACAATGACACCTTAAAATAAAGTGTAACCTTTTTTTATATAAGTGTGCATATATTAATTTTGTTAGAGTTATTTTGAGTTGAGCACAGGTGCTTCATTTGCATGCAAAATCAAATCCATCATGCATGAAAGTCTCGGGGAAACATATTTGAATCACACACACACACCGGCAATCATTCTTCCATTTATGTATTTGATTCACTTAATATCCAGAGTGAAGACCAGACACTATAAATCAGTCAGAAGTGTGTGTGTGTGTGTGAAGCCGTTCCTCGTGCATGATGTGTGTATCCGAGGGTAAAACGGCTTTTCATTGAGTCTATAAAGTGTTTCTATACCCAAACAAGCGAGTACTTTTACTAGTCAAGTCGATTAATCGGGATTAATTACATCTAACACGAGTGTTTACATAATATACGTAGAGCTGTATATATAATTATGTGTGTCTGTGTATACACACATATAAATGTGCACAATACAGTGTATACAAACATATATAAATATAATAATAATACTGTACCTTTATGTTAGATGCGATTTATTAGTACATTGACAAACAAACGGAAAGTAACACTGAATTAAACGTGAACTTTTGAAGTATATGCCAGACAACATTTAATAATATTATAAGAATGTTGGCGTTATGTTCTCAATGTCTTTCTTGAAATATCAAAAATATTCAGCATCATTTTAAATTCACTGGGAACTTACTTTTTGAATGTGCAACATTTTCTAATGAGTATAACATTTAAAAATATAGATTTGAAACTAAAAACTAAAACATTATTGAAGACTGTATCGTTGAATGATGTTCTAATAGTGTTACTGGAAGAACGTTTATTCAGAATGTTTTATTTACAA